TATATATATATATATATCGGTGAGAAATAGTAGAACTTCACTCTTAAAACACACTTTCAATTCTACTCACTTATATTTTAAATCTAAACCGACATGAATGTCAAAATTATTAATAAATATATGAATTTTACTACAATTTTCATCAACCATTCACCCCATTGAAAAAAATTATGGAGAATGATTTAAAGACTCATAAGAATCATATACAAATTGCTTATATCTACAACATGAACATAGTATAAAAGCCAAAATTCTGGCATAAAGCATTATATTAGGTGATACATCTATGAAGTATCAATTTAAAGTATGAAGTTAGGTGATACAGCCATGCACCATTAACCTATGCATCCACAGCTGCTAGTGGGATCTCTTCATATTCTGTATCTGCAGGTATGATTTAGCATGTAATTGCAGCTAACCTGCGAAACATAAGTTAATCATAATTTAAGCTGTAATTATACATACACTACTACAGTTCTCTAATTAACACTGCTAAGCTTTGTTGTATAGCTCAAATCGTAAGAAGCATTTTTTCCTTTTATTTCTAAGCCCGATGGTTTCTAAGATGAAAAGGGAGAGTATAGGCAAAATTCAATCAACTTGCTTATAGAACCAAATATTCCATCAATGATCAATCAATATATTCTGTAATTTAATTACCAACACAACAGACTATTATATGTTAAAATTGATAAATTACCTTTACAAATATATACATGCTCTACTATATGTTGTATACAAACAGACTTCAGAATCTCAAGAAATTGACACATGCTTTACTATAATTTGTAATTTTAGAAATATACTATATGCTTTAGAAATATAAATTGTCTTTCGACACACCAGCTGTAATTTTATAAACTTCTTGACGTAAAATTCAAAATAGTGTTTATTTAGTTTATAGTTTTATAAAATTGATTTTAAATTGTTGAAAGTGATTGAGATGAAAACCTAAATCAATCTGAATCATATATTTTATTGAACACGTATTTTTTATCATAAAGAATGAGGACTGATTTCACCCTTCCTTAAGAGATGCAAGACTTTCATTTCAGCTAAAATATGACAAGGTCGTGTCCAAGAATAATCATCACAATTAAAAAATTACAAATTCCGACACTTTTCTTTTAAGGTGCAAAGGTAATCAATATGCAAATTTTGAAAAACTACCTCCTATAATGCATATATTATACCTTTTTATATACATCAAAGAAGCAGGTCTTACGACTCATCTCAATAGTAAAAAATTACAAAATCACCAACTGAGACACGACACCTATTCTGCGAGGAGTTGTATTTATCTGAATTTGTTGGTGGGGGATTATCACACCAACTAGTAGAGAGAAACGAGCGTAAAAGCTTGAGTTGTAAACATGTCATTGCCTCTGCAACACGTTAGTTCTGTTACATAACATCTTCAATGAAAGGCAAAATTCTTTCATGCAGATAGCTCTGCCCCTGCCCCCACGTATTCGGTATCCTCATCTTCAAGTTGTTTCCTTCTTTGAGCTTCAAGTTTAGTTTGGTTGCCAATAGCTTCAGAGATGGCTTTCGGTAACCAAAATCCTGGCTTCTCAAGGAATGGTGCCCGGTCAAGCACCAAAGGTTCTCTCAAACTTACTTCAATTCCATCAAAGCTCCACAATTTCGTGGTTGCTTCACCTTTCAAACCCAATGAGAACCAACCCAAACCCGCTATTGTTATGTCTACGCTGTTGACATCCCAACTAGATCCAGACACTTTCACTTCCCTTTCTTCCCATGTTCCTAATTCTGTAGCACGGTCGTTGCCAATGGGAGGCTTCAATAAGAATAAAATGAAATATAAATTAGTGAAAACATAGATAACAAGCACTTAACAAGAAACACTAATAGAGAACAATTTTGCCAAGCCTACATTCCTCACATTGAGTATCTTTGTCTCATTGAAGTATGCATAAAAGGACATTCGAAGAAGTTGATGTTCATTAGTAATTTAAATTAGTAACAACTAATATATGACGTTTATTCATAGGCTGTAACCTATAATAAAGAAAAAGTTTGGGCCGTATCTTATTTGTATACTCTTTGATGCAGAACATTTGGCATAATGACCTAGTACCCTTGAGTCCACTAGGGATTTTAAAATAACTCTATCTCAGAAAAGATGACCAAAATGAAATAAAAATGGCCAAGCTATGGAAAAATACAGCTTTCAACCTCCTCAGTAAAACAAAAAATATAGACATATTTAGGCTGGTAGGAGAACAGGGAAAAGCTTACCTGCAGCCTGATACCAACATGATTTCTCCAAACCTCATCAGCATTTTCTATTTTCCCCATGTGAAGAGAAACATTTGGTGATGCCCAAACTGTGACATATATTGTTTCAACAGAGGCTTCAACAAGGTCAAGTCTTGTCAAGCCACCAATGTGTATAGCCTGTCCTACCTGTATATTAAAACCAGCATGAAAAATACATACTAATGTGCATAAAAAACCCTGTAGTATTGATTCAGTAAGCATATTTATAGTTCAGAATCTTCAAATACCAACTAGAGGCCATAACTGTTATGTAGTAGTAAATTCAAACATAACACTTAAACAAGAACTTTAACCATTTCTGTTAGCTTTCAATTCTTAACTTATGGTCATGCACAAAGCACAAGTAAAATCCAAGCAAGAAAACAAAAGCACCCCTGACAATAGCAATAAGTAACTTGCCTTAATTCTATATGACCGAGGCCGAAGTTCCTTCCGCATCTCAACAATCTTTTGCTCATCCCGGTTCAATCTCATTGACATTAAATATGGGTGCAAAAGCCCTGGAGTGTCAAACATCTTAGTCTTAGCCGGCAAAACTCCCGCAATTCTCAAGATCCCAAGTGTTGTTCCTGGAATTGGAGCTTCTGTGAGTTTCGTAACTTTAGCTCCTTGTTTCTTTGCAAATGCATTGATCAGGGTAGACTTCCCTGCATTTTGAGCTCCGATTACCCAAACATTCCCACGGGGACCAGCCAAATTCTTTATGAACGACAACAAATTCCTTACACCTAAATCCTTCCTTGCACTGACCATATAAACCCCATTCAGCTTAGGCGCTCCTCCGGATCTTGCACGGTTTCGAACCCATCTATCTAACCTCGCTGGAGAAACCTGCGACGGAAGAAGATCAACCTTGGTTGCCACAAGAACAAGCTTTGGCATCTTCTTGGCCCGCTTTGAGTTATCCTGTATTCCTTCCAACGCTTGAAACAACGATTTAACCGCAGTTCTAGGGAATGAGCCGTCGAAATCAACACAATCCACAACCATGACAACAACAGTGGAACTGCCACTCCCAGAAGGGTTCATCAACCGCGTTGAAATCAACCTATCGAAATCAAAATCAGGTATTAAATTCTCCGCCGTCTGGTTTTTCACCTGGCCATAGTTTCTCAAGGAGTGGCACCTAGCACAAACGGTAACCTCCTCTTTCTCCTTGTCAGCCTCCTTGGCCATCCTCTTCTTCTGAGCTTTGGTCACCTTCTTCTTCTTTACCTTCTCCAAGTACTCCTCAGTAATGTTACCATACCCAACTCCTGCAGGTGCAAACCCATCTAAATCCAAATTCTCATCATCTTCACCCAGTAACTTAGCTTCCAAATCATCAGAATCCCAATCAAACTCGTCTATTAAACCCTCACTCTCTTCTCCAAGCTTATTCTCACTTCCATTCAAAAACCTCACTTCTTCATCATCTTCTTCTATATCATCAACATCATCATAATCATCATCATCATCATCATCATCCTCATCCTCTTCAAACTCTTCCACTTTGACCTTCCTTGGTTGGTAAAACCCCAAAAGGTTAGGATCCTTATCTTGCATGAAGACTCCACAACCAGGGCAAATGGGTCCTCTAGCTTCATCCTCATCTCTCCCTTCACTCAATAAGGGGTTTCTACTATCTCTCCTTGGTGTGGCTTTAGCGGGAGTGGAGTCACCGTTCACCGCAAAAGCAATAAAGGACGACACTTTCTCGAAGCGCTTGCTAGTATCTACACTCGAGACACGTAAAACGCAAATGGGTATCGGAAAATGGAAGAGGATAGTAACACAAATTGACACGAGCGAAAAGGATAGGATTGATTGATGAAAGGGCTTACCTGTGAAATGACGAAAAGTTGGAAGTGCACGGTCTTGCGTGTTGTTGGGGAAGGTTACGAGCTTGGTAGAAGGAACAATGATTGTAGGCAACAACATAGCCATGGCTGTGAAGTGTGAAGTGTGAAGTGTGAAGTGTGAAGTGTGAAGTGTGAAGTGTGAGAGATAAACAAAGCGCGAATGCTGAGAACTGGGAAGAGGTTAAGGCAAGACAAGGAGTTTCTGTTAAATTATTTACGTGTCACTCTAAATTTTAAGGTTTTTATTTTAATTTTAAATGTTTCTATTCTTTCAATAATTCAATTCATTGTTTCTTTTGATCAGCTTATTTAAAAATATACTAATATTTTATCAAGTAATGTACAGATTAATTAATAATTAGAAAATATGATTAAAATTAAAATAAATTATATATATAAATAAATATTATATTTAAAGATATAAATTGTATTTAGAATTTATATAAATAAATGTTTTTAAACATATAATTATATTTTAAATATTAAATTTAATTTATAAATAATTATAATAAATAAATATCAAATTAGATAAAAATTTTAAAAAAAGAATCTTAAAAATCTTCTTTAAAAGTGTTTTGATATAAAATAGTTGTTTGTATTTAATGTATAGGTGTTGATTTTTAACTTATTAAACCGTATGTTTAAAAATTCATTAAAATAAATAAATAAATAATATGTACAATAAATATAAATTAATTCTTAATTATTTTTGGTTAAATTATGTAAGGTGTAAAAATAAAATGTAGTGATCCTGATTCACTAAATATCTGTGGCAATTTTTTTTTGTTTAATTGGTAATTCTCCCAACTCTTTCTTCCATGAAGGCGAAAATAATCATACGTAAAAGTTAAAAGAAAAAAAGTCAGATCTCAAATAAATAAATAAAAATCAAAATCATTTCTGTTTTGACTCGTTGAGTGAGATCCGTTAATTGTTATACTCAAACAACACCTTTTGTCAAATCCAAATTAACAAAAAAAAGAAGAAGAAAAAACTATCACACTTGGATTAATATTGAGTAGATATTTGAATTGAAGGAGCTTAACATTGTCTTGAGAAATGAGTTTGCCGTAGATTATCTTGAGCAGTCATTGATAGGATGAGTGACTCAAATAGATAAATTAATTTTTCTAAAAGTATTTTAAGGAAAAAAATTTAAAAAAAATATGTTAAAATTAACTCATGCATAAATTAAAAATAAGATTTTAAAAAAGCTAATAAGAAAATTTTTATAAATTAATTTACAAAGAAACTCATTTCATTTTTCTTTCTTAATTTTTTCTCCTGTAAGTATTCTTAGAAAAAATTATCTAAACAAATCCTAAATATTGTGATTTTGGTGAAAACTTATTGGCTTATTGGGTCAGAAATTATGAGAAATTTGATCGTTACAAAAGCCAACCATTTGCAAAGGGTCGGGATCCCTTTAAACACTTTTATGCCTAATGTTCTGAGATTAGGTCCACAGACGCTTGTGGCCTCAAGGGTACTAGCTCATTATGTCTAATGTTCTGCCTCAAAGAGTATACCAATAAGATACGGCCCAAACTATTTATTTATTATAGGTTACAGCCTATGAATAAAGGTCATATATTAATTGTTACAAATTTAAATCACTAATGAACATAAACTTCTTCGAATGTCCTTTTATATATGTTTTCACTAATTTATATTTCATTTTATTCTTATTGAAGCCTCCCATTGGCAACGACCGTGCTACAGAATTAGGAACATGGGAAGAAAGGTAAGTGAAAGTGTCTGGATCTAGCTGGGATGTCAACGGCATAGACGTATAAATAGCGGGTTTAGGTTGGTTCTCATTGGGTCTGAAAGGTGAAGCAACCACGAAATTGTGGAGCTTTGATGGAATTGAAGTAAGTTTGAGAGAACCTTTGGTGTTTGACCGGGCACCGTTCCTTGAGAAGCTAGGATTTTGGTTACCAAAAGCCACCTCTGAAGCTATTGACTACCAAACTAAACTTGAAGATCAAAGAAAGAAACAACTTGAAGATGAGGATACTTAATACGTGGGGGCAGGGGCAGAGCTGTCTGCATGAAAAGAATTTTGCCTTTCATTGAGAATGCAATGTAACAGAACTAACGTGTTGTAGAGGCAATGACATGTTTACAACTCAAGCTTTTCCACTCGTTTCTCTCAACTAGTTGCTGTGATAACCCCCAACCAACAAATACAGATAAATACAACTCCGGATCTGCTTCTTTGATGTACATAAAAAGGTAAATACATGCAATATAGGAGGTAGTCTTTCAAATTTTGCGTATTGATTACCTTTGCACTTCAAAAGAAATGTGTCGGAAATTGCAATTTTTTATTTGTGTTGATTATTCTTGGACATGGTCTTGTCGTGTTTTAGCTGAAATGAAAGTCTTACATCTCTACAGATTAGTGAAATCAGTCCTCATACTTTATGATGAAAAATACATGTTTCGATAAAATATATGATTCAGATTTGATTTAGGCTCGTAACCCAATCACTTTCAACAATTGAAAATCAATTTTATACAACTATAAACTAAATGGTCACTACTTTGAATTTTACGTCAACAAGTTTATAAAATTACAGCCGGCGTGTCGAACGCTACTTTAAATTTGGCAATTACGCAGTTGAAAGCGTCATATTATGTTGTTTATTTATTTTTATCAGAGACAAGAGAATGTGTCCATTTTATTTTAAAGTAAAGCGAAAGCCTTGAGGAAACAAATCCCAACAAAGAAGTTTCTTTTTCTTCTAATTTTTCAATTTTGTAATCTGAATACTTGTAGCAGCTCTTAAACATGAGTAAATGAAAGATTCACATTCTTTTTTTCATCTTTCTCCTCCCTTATTCACACCACATATTTTGGTGAAGCAAGAGAAGGATAGATTGAAGGTCGAAACCTTGCTATACAAGAGTTAACAGAAAGTTGAAGCTATGGAATAACATGGTACAGCAGTAGCTAAATGACCGCAAGCTAAGGCTGTGGCATTCAGCCTCTAAGGTGGTAGATGCAGTTGAAATCAGAAGGTTCATCTCTGGCTCATGCAGTTAGTTTGTAATAAGCTTCTTCTACATAAGAAATTAAAGCCCCCAGTTAGTGAAACAAAACCAACTGCATATTTGCATCATTAACATTAACATGCATAATAATTGTAAATTTGAATTTTGAATTCAACCCCTTAATTTACCATGGGCTTCACGAGAAAATCGCATGAAGTCTTCAAGCTGTTCTTCATAAACAGCAGGATCTTCTTCAACAGCTCCAACAAGATCAAAGGAATCAGGAAGCAATTCAACCACATCATGGCCTACAAACCCATCATCTTCAGAACCGTTGCTATAATAGTTGTCACCAACATCCTGTTGCTGGCTGAGCCAGAAGTCATGGTACCATGTCAGCGTCGTCACCAGCTGCCACCATTCCGGAGAAAAATCCTCCACTTGGCGGAATGCAGCTGGAACGAAAAGAGGGGCATTAGGGTTCAGTGTCGATCCTCCTCCAGAAACTAAAGCCATCTTCCTTAAACTTGATTCAACGATTCTGATCCTTGTTCTTCTACCTCAAAAGCAATTCAACAAAACTGTCAGCAACGAATGAGTATTATAAACAACCTACCAAACACCAAATTATCACAATTTCGAGCATAAACACGGATCATCACCAAATCACATTAAATTCAAAAATCTACGTTAGGTGATATCATTATTTAATTGAATTGTTGAATTCACAAATGTACAAGATTTTTCTTTCGAAAAAATTTCGGTAAAATTATGGACGGTGCGGAAATAAAATGTGGTGATCTAATCCTGATTCACCATCTGAAGATATTTGTAGCTATGTTTTTGTTTAGGATTGGTTATTCTCCGAAATATTTTCCACGGAACAGCAGAAATCGAATCATACGTTAAAAAAAAAAAAAGAAAGTCAGATCTCAAATAAAAAACTGAAAATCATTTCTGTTTTGACTCTGTGAGTAAGATCTATTTATTTTCATACGTAATAAAATAAATTATTCAAACAACAAACGGAGAAAAAGAAACGTCGCCTAATTGAAATTACAAAACCTAGAAATCAAAACACGGAAGAAACAAATCCATAGGTTTCCGATCAGCGGCCACCGATCAAGCAGATGATTCAACAAAACACGAATTTCGCGCAATTGCAAACAAAGAGCGGCAGCGAAAACCGATCGCACGAGATTTTACATTTTTTCCTCTCCTTCAGGCACGAAAGACAAACGGAAAGAAAGGAAAAACGAAATCGAAAAGAGAAAACCCTAGAAATCGCGGAGAAGATATCAAAGATGGTAGATGAGAGAAGAGAAATACCTAAGAAAATTCGCTGAGGACGAGTCACGCGTGGAGGCGAGTCGCGAATGCGCAATTTAGAGGGGGCGAAACGAAAGGATCAGTCCGAAGCTGCGGTTCGGGAAAAAAGAGTGGGACCCACGGAGGTAGGTTTGGTGAAGGCCCCGTCCAGTGTGCGTCTTGGTTCGGACGCAACGGTGCAGAGGTGAATGTCAACTCAACTGTGCGCGTAATCCTGCCCGTATTTGTTGACCCTTTGACGTGTTTAATAGCGTTGTTCTTTTATGTTTCGTTTTTTTACTTCTGCGGTTAATAATGCTTTTACGCTTTGTTACGGTGCCATAAGTAACCATCCAAATTTAACGCACGCAATTTTAGCAGAGGAAACTTGCGCTCGCTAGTCAACCAAAATACGCGGAACGATACCAGTGAATGCCACGCAATGTAGTCGTGAAAATTAAATAAATAAGGCTAATATTCATGAAATTATCCAAAAAATGTGAAAAAACTTAGAGCTTGCACCCTTTGCATTGTGTAACATGCTTATGGTTGACATAATTGCTTTATTTACTAAAAGTGTTTCACAGATATTTTAATTAATTCTTTTATGCAAGCATGTTGGGTGGAGGATATTTTATTAGTTAAATACCTAAATCATTCCTCGTGGCTATCCTACTCCTTTCTATACCATGGCTTAAAGCGCTTGTGAGACAAGTTTGGCAGTAACACTAAGTCTAACATGTGTTGTTTGTCTTATCTCAAAAGTTTACAACAATTTCTAAACCAGCTAAGGCTTTTCTCCTTATGCAATGTTAGTTTTAAAATAATTATCGAAGTGAATGATGATATAATATATTGAAACCAATCATCTCTGGGACTATTTCTCCCTGTCAGACGAGCTTTTGTACCCAATCGTAGTATTTATGAAAATATTATCACTGCTCGATAAATGGTACGTCGCACATACCATGAGAAAATTAGAGATCTCCTTTCTTCAAACCAATTGAAAATTTGTCACATCTTATCATCCAACCAGTGAATGATGGGTTCTATGGACCTCTATTTTCTCTTCCTTGTGCTCTAGGCCCATCGTTTACCAAAAACTAAAATCAGTTGGTAAAAATATTGACTAAAATTAAAATTGAAATCACAAATTAAAGTTTTGATTAAACATTTAGAATCATATGCTGGATATAACATGAGCTCTTTTTTCAGCATGATTGCATCTTGAATGCTTTTTTTAAAAAGAGAGATACCGTGTGCTTGATAATTATTGAAAGGCATTATTATTTGTCATCTTGCAATTCTATTTGATTCATGAATGTTCAATTCCATGTCTGGTGACGTGGGAGCAACCAGGAAGCATCGATGAAAAATCTTCCAATAATTTAATTTTTTTTGTGAATAAAAAGGGATAGAGCCCAATAATTAATTAAACGCACATGGCTTGCTTCGCGTGGCCGAATGAAAGATTGGTTAGAGGACATGTAAAAGCAATTATACACCACTAAAAGCCGCTCCGGCCAAAAAAAATATATACATAAATCATAATCATACAATATCATTCTTGTCGATTGTATCTCGGAAAGAAATAACACCCATAATTTATATTAAAAATAAATTATATTCATCTAATCATTAACTTATATTTTTATATTATTATTTTTTATGAAATTTGATTTTGATAATCAAACGCAAATAAATTTTTAAGTAGGACACAAAATCTTTTAAAATCGTGTATAAATTTTTTTTTATTTGAACCAATGACGTATTAATTTTCAGTTTGAAATAGAATAGTGAGAGAAATTATACAAAAACGTAAACTAGTAAAAGTTTAGAAAATAAATTAAGATTAAGTTCGAAGAATAAATGAAAATTAAGAAGTAAAAAGTTAAGTTTGGAAAAGAACAGATGAATAAAAGTTTAAACAAATATAAAATTACTAGAAAGGAAATGATGGTTAGCAATATTGTAGGAGCTTGTTAGTTTGCGAGTATCATTGGAAATTAAGATATATTAAGTGTTTATAAATTTTAACCCTTATTACACGATGCAAACTAATATTTATAAATAAATAAGTTATAACTACACTTAACTATCAACAAATCTTGATCATTGATAATTTTTGTCTTGATCTTCATTGTTGATGATATTTATGGTCTTGATCCTCCAAATAGTATTGATTTTCCAAATGATTGGATTTTTATTGTAGCCTAGTCATAGTGTGATTAATTAGAAGATAATATTCTAACACTTAATCAAAATAATACACAAATAGTATCTTCTAGCACTTAGTCAAAAAAAAAAATTAAATACCATTTTTTTAATATTGGTGACAACAGAATGCCCCTGGTATTTATCTTTTGACTAGATTGAAAAAAGATAAATACTATAATTTTTTGCTTAAAACTTTTGAAGTACTTACATTGCTCGTTGTGAAATGTTACAATACTTGATCTTTAGTCCAATTACTTTCTTTATACAATTATGCCAAGAAAATTAATAAATCAATGTTTAGTTGGATCAAGAAGTCCAATACTAATGTTGGATTAATTGAAAATTAATGTTTTGATCGAAGTATTAATAAGAAAAAAATATTTGATTTTTAATGTTGTGTTAATCAAAGCAAAAAAAATCAATACCAATATCGGATTAATTGAAACATGTTTTATTGAGACATTCGAGACGAAAAAAAATTGATTGTTGGTGTTATCTTAATTGAAACTAAAAAGGTTTGGCAAAATCAAAAATCCAATACTAATGTTGGATTGATTCTACTTCAAAAGAAATTATAGTATTTTTTTTTATTTAATCAAAAGATAAATACTGGGATTTTCTATTGATATCATAATTTTTATAGTACAAAAAATGGTATTTTAAGAAAAATAAGTTTTGTTAATATCACAATTTTTTAATAGTATCAAAAACTAATCTTTCAAAATGGGTGAACCAAAGTTTGGTTAGGTAAAATTCAATATTGATGTTGGATTAATTGTGCTCAAAAATAAATTTTTTTATTTATCTTTTGACTAGGGAGCTTTTATTATAATTATAATTTTTTGATAATATAAAAAAATAAATTTTTAAGAGCATCTTGACAAAAGTGTTGGATCATGTTGTTTGTGTATTGTTTTAACTAAACGTTATAAGATTATATTCCAATTAATCTCACCATGACAAGGCTACAATAGAAATTCGATCATTTGGAGAATCAACACCATAACTATTATCAACGATGGAGACTGAAGACACAAGTTATCAATAATCAAACTTTGTTGGTAGTTAGGGGTAGCTACAACTTGTTTTCTATAAATATTAGGTTGCATCATATAGTAAGAGTTCAAACTTATAAATACCTTATGTATCTTAAATTCTAGTAACATTCATAAATCAATAAGTTACTACAATGTTACCAACCATAATTTCCTTTATAGTGATTTAGATTTGTTTTCAATCTCTTTCTCCCTACTCATTCTTCTTTAAACCTAACTTTACACTTCTCAATCTCCAATTCTTCTCCAAACTTAACATTTTCACTTTTTTATCTCAATTTCTTCTCCAACCTCTTACTATTTTACATTTATGCAAAATCTCCCTCTCTCTCTATTTTATTTCAAGTTGAAAACCAATAGATTGCTAGTTTGAATAAAAAAATCCACACAGTCTTGGAAGATTTCAAATCATACTTTAAAATTTTTTTGTATTCGATTTTCGGAATCAAATTCCACAAAAAATAATTATCTTGTATGTTTATTACTTTGTATATTTAAGTGACATTTTTTAGTCAAATCAATGACCCAATAATCAAAACATAGTCACACATTTCCTCCTAGCCTAAAAAGATAAAGAGAAAGAAGAGACCCAACAAGGAGAACGAAACCTCACACCATAGGACAAATTTAGGGACTCACACTTCCACGCAAATGCAACCTATTACCCTGCTCCTTTTTTCATAATTGTTTGTTGTTGTTAGGGTGTAAGCGGGCCAGGTTAGGTCAGATAATCGAACAAATTAATTAAATCATTGATATATATTCTAAATTTTGAATGAAAAAAATAAAAATGTAATACATGATTTGTTAAAATAATAATACACGTCTCAACCATCAATCACTATATATAAAACACGAATGACTATATTGCATAAAAGTATTTTTAGGAATTTTTTTTAATGAGAGAGTTTTTAGAGATTCTTTTAATTGGGAATGATAAATGGATGGATCTGATAATATTTTAGACGGATCATAATGGATCGGATAAAAATAAGTTATTAATTCATTTACACCCATTAAAAATCACATAAAAATTCAATTCATCAAATTTATTTAAAGTATAAAAAATCTAATTCATGAATAACTTTTACTTTTTAAAATATTTTATTTACTTTTTTCTCTCTCTTCTTTATAAGTCATTATATTCTTATATAGTTTTTAAAAATTTACAATTTTCTTATGACAAAAAATATATATATATATATATATATATATTTTAAATTTCAATCCAACAAAACATCATATATCATATATGTTAAATATTTATTACATAATTAAATTTTATAATAAATAACATATACAAATAATATTATATTTTAAATATTTAAATTAATTTGTATAAGTAGTTTTTTTAAACATGTAAATTATACTTTTATTTAAAATAAATAATTTATATTGTGACATTAGATTATTTTTGATTAATGATAATGTATTTAAAAAATATTAAAATTTATTTCATTCACTGATATGATAATTAAAAAAAAAATGAATTAGGTAAGAGGTTACAATAATCTCTAAAACTACTCTCATTAAAGAATATCTCTTAAAAATACTTTCACACAATATAATAGTCAATATTTAATATCTAATGGTTGATATAATGATTGATTTACTCGTTCTCCATTTATATGTAAATATAAATTGACTTACATATGTTTTTAATCTATCAAATTTAAAATAAATTTATTTTTAATCTCTTAATTTTAAGACTGACTTTTTTAATTCCTATAAATTTTTTAAAAAATTATTTTAATTCTTATACTCAAACTTACTAGTGTCCTTATTAGTAAAAATAAGTATATAACAGTTTATTTCAAATATGTTATTAGTAAAAATAAGTATATAACAGTTTATTTCAAATATGTTATTAGTAAAAATAAGTATATAACAGTTTATTTCAAATATGTTATTTATGATCTGAGGTATTAAAATATTTTTTTTAAAATTATTAATTAAAAATAATAATTTTAAATAAAAAATTTAAAACAAATTTATAATAAATTTTAAAATTAAAAATATATTTAAACTATATAAATTTTCAGAATAATTAGAAATAATAAAAAAAATGAAAGATTTTTAATGACCAAATTATTCTACTTAAAGTTGTAAAATTGATTTATTTAAAATAATTAGCGTAAGTAGGTTGGTGTCACTTGATCTATATTTTTTATAAGTCACTTATCTTGTAATTAGGGATGGCAACGGGGCGGGGCGGGTACGGGTTTCATGATACCCGCCTCGTCCCTGCAAGTTAAACTCATCCCCATCCCCGTCCCCATACTCTTCGGGTATAAATTTTCATCCCCATCCCCGTCCCCGTCGGGTATTGGGTATACCCATACCCGTCAATTTTTTTATTTTTTATTTTTTGTAAAAAAAATGATATTTTTAAATTATTTTTTTATTATATTATAATTATACTTAGGTTATTTCTTTATCTCATATTATAATAAATAATCACACATAAAAAATATTAAATTTTTTTAATATAATTAAATTGAAAGTGAATATTAAATTAAAAATGAGAACGGGGACGGGTACGGGGCAGGTAAGTACATACCCGTACCCGTATCCGTACCCGATTTAATATATCGGGTTTTATCCGTACACGTACTCGTAGCCGGTTAAACCGGGTATTCCCCGTCAAAGTCGGGACGGGTTCGAGTATTACCCGCGGATACGGGTATATTTACCATCCCTACTTGTAACCGTGTGATTTATGGATTTGTAAAGTGAAATTGGATTAAATTGATTTATTTTTATTTTTCATTTATTTAAGTTTTACGAAAAATATAAAATATTTCACTTTTTTGTCGGAAAATTATTGCCCAACTACTCAATTTTATAAATGTTATTTATTGAATCACAATAGTCTATTTGAATTAACGTATGAGTTAAAATTAAAACCAAGTCATGTTTTTCATAAAGAATGTAAATTATTGAATTAGTTGAGACAAAATATAAAAATTAGATTATTTTAACAATTCCTTATAAACATAATCAATTATTATTAGAATAATTTTTGTTTTAATAAATTTATTAAAAACAATTTTAAGTTAAATTAAAAATAATTTTTACGTAATAAATTAACTTTAAGTAGAAAAAATCATTCTAAATAACCATAAACTTATTGTTTTTTCATTTTTTAATAAATTTCATCTATTATTACAAATACATAATTTATTTACAAATAATTTATTTTCTAAAATAAATAATTTTCACTGTTCCGTTCTGAATGTTCATTTCCATAGGGCAAGTTCAATTTATTTGTCTGTAGCTTTTTCGCTCTCACTCGGCCTCGCAGTGTCTGCTACTCCGCGCCGTCTCGCTGGCCATCGTTTCACCGCCCTCTACGGTGGTGCTTCATCGAAGCTCAGGTCTCTCTTCTCTCTCTCTCTGCAGTTACATTTATAGAGATCGTGCAGTTTAAATTACCTTTATGTCTCTGCTTTTTCTTGCAATGCTTTTAACCTCGCTAGTAGCAACCACAATTTGGAACCTCCAAACCCTACTTAGAGCAATCGCAGATCCTTTGTTCAGTGTTGACTCACGCAGCTTCAGTAATTGCTCTAGTGCCATTCAATTATCCGGCTTCTCTTGATTAGACGTTTGCGTAATGTTGTCAAAAATTTGTATTCAATTTTTTTTTAAATAAAGAAGAGAGAAGAATTTTGATTGCAGCATTTAATTAACTATAATTTAATTATCAATTGTTAGGTTTAAGACTATTGTGTTTGTGTGTGTGTGTTTATTGGCTGTTAGGTTAACGCGCGAGTGTTTATTTGCGTAAATAAGCTACCGGATAGCGTTGGAAGCTTTGGTAACTGTGTTTTCTGAATATGTTTTCAAATAACAAAATTTATGACCATCTCTTAATGAAGGTACCAATATCAATATATAAGGAACTCGAGCAAAGCAACACCTAAATTATGTACTTTGAATTATTCAACTGGTTCTCTTAAGGATGCTTGTTTTGACGTTAAAAATGTTCAAATGTCCGTTCAACTCATTTAAACTAGACACGTACTTTTCTGTTGTGGACCCTGCAAATGCGTGTTTGGTTTATTGTTTTCCGCACATTCAAAGTCTGTTTAATGTAATAGCATGTGAGAGTATGGATTTGAGTCTTCCGTTTGAGTCTCAATGGATATCCAAACACAACTTAAGTGTGTTTGCTTTTAAGTTTACACACGTTCCAGGGCAATTGAACGTGACTGAGCAAAAAGAATGGATTCATGTTGAACATTGTTTTAAACGGAAATTCAAACCCATCTTTATGATCAGAGATGGCTATAACATCTTTGTGTAGGTTTCTGTCATAATGGGAATCTTTATACTTGTGCTCTTTTTCTGTTATTTCTTTTAACTATATCTTTAATAGCAGATCAGTTATACCTGCAACAAAAATGGAAAGCTAGCTTCAAACACATCTTTACAATCAGAGATGGCTATAATATCTTTGTGTAGGTTTCCATCCTAATGGGAATCTTTATACTTGAGCCTTTTTTCTATTATTTCTTTTGACTATATCTTTAATAGCTGGTCAGTTAAACCTGCAACCAAAATGGAAAGCTAGCTACAAACACATCTTTACAATCAAAGGTGGCTATAATATCTTTGTTTCGGTTTCTGTCCTAATGGGAATCTTTATACTTGAGTTCTTTTTCTATTATTTCTTTTAACTATATCTTTAATAGCGGGTTGGTTAGACCTGCAACCAAAAATGGAAAGCTAGTGTCTGTGGTTTGTATATGCTGAATTCCACCTCAATCATTGTTTGTTTGGACTATTCAGAGTCAATTACTTTACCTGGACTGGGCATTTAGCACAAGTCACTATTTCTAGTATCCAGGGGGTAAAAAACTAAAGACAAGAAGAATAAGATCAGGAGAAAGACTGATGACAAGTTCTAGAAAGGAAGAGACTTGGGAAAAGGATTACAGAATTTGAACCCTCCATTCACTTCCTAGATATTATATTACCGCTCACTTCAATGAAATCTCTCAGCTGAGAGTTCACTTAGCATTTTCCTTGGACGTTTGGATCACCTGACATGTGTCCCTTCTTTAAAACAAACTCTTGTTCTAATTGTTCGGTGATCTGGCTTTCACCCCTTTAGTTGTCCTTTTCTCAATCCAAGCTGGTCTCCAATTCAGCTCTTCTCATTATGGAGACCTTGTACATATTCGCAAGTGGGCTTAAGTCAACAATATGGTTAAAAGAGATTATACTATATGATATAAAAATAATTTAGATAATTTTTTGGATTCAAATATAAACTCAGATATCTAATTATCACATCCAACAAATTAAGTTGATAACAGTTTTAGAAGTAAAATTATGGAGTGTAGATACTATGTAAGTACAACATAATTGGGAGATTCTACAAAACTATGGATGGATTGCTTATCTATTTTTAACCCTATCTGTTGATGACCTGTGGCTCTTCCTATGATGAGAGTAGAATTCTATTGTTGTATCTTGTTTTGCATATTAAATGTTCTTAATAAGAAGTATTGCTCTGTAAAATTTGGATCTTCAATGTTAAATTTATGCAGTCTTTTTATATTGAGAAACTCACTGTGTCCAGTCCAATAGATTTCAGAGATAGTTTCTCTGTTGATTGACGCTATTTCTTGATATACTGAGGTGTAATTCCTGGTGTAATGTTCCTTTATAAAGTAAAAGAGTAAAGTACAACACATAATATGTCCTATACTTCCATCTAAATCTTCTCCATGTTTTTATTAATTTATTACATAAATTGATTTTTAATTTGCATCTTTTTCTTAATCTGAGAATTTTTAATGGAGTAAACACATGCTTGTCTCTGTCCATTGCAGGGACTTCATGAATAGTAACTTAGTCTATGTGAAGATTATAAGAGGAAGATGAGAAGACATTGTAGGCTTTGGTGGCCAAAGCAACTTTTATCAAATCAAGAATCATCCTCTAGTATTTTACTAGGGTGGTTTGTCACCTGCTCACCATCATCCCTTGACATTATTGTAGCCTTTACTTGCAATGAAGTCTTGCTTCCTAGTTCTAGTCCTGGCATTGAGGTATAAAACTGAATTTGAGTTCATAGTCCCTTTTCCTTGCTTGCAGTTTGGATTGAAGCAAATGAAATAACAATAGCAGCAATGAATTTATTGGTTATATGTTTGTTACAACTATTAGTTGCAGAAGTTTTGGGTTTCCTTTTTTGTGATATTAAATTTTTTTTGTTGTATTCAAATTCCTGCAAGACTTGTTAAGTTTAAATGGAAATGAACATTTTCCATTTTGCCTCTTAGAATATTCAGTAAGGTATTAGTATCTTGATTGAGTTTAACCTAAATATTAGGTCCATGTGTATAAAATTTATTTCAGGATATTGATACATTTGCAGAAAAAATATATGAAGTATAATGGGAAAAAATTGATTTGGATGGATATTTATTCACACTTGAATGGTGCATAACTACTTTGTTTGCGTTCGTTGTGAAAATCTTGGTTATATGACAGTACGACTGTGGTTGGAAAAATCCCACTGTTAATCTTTCAATGATTCTTTCATACAAGTTGTCTTAGGTGGTTTCTGGAATGGTCCATTCTAATGAGGATAATTGACATTATGAACTTACACTCTCTATTAGGGGATCATTCATGACACATGTGGGATCATGCCTTCATTTCTTGAAGATAAGTCCAAGTTCTCTGTACTTGGTCTGTGTGTTACTGACCCTACTACTAGTAATAGTTTGATGAATGAGATTGAAGATGACAAAAAGAAGTTCTCTGAGTATGGCAATGCTTTGGAAGAGGAAAGTACAGATAGAAAGAATAACTGTAGGAGTTGCCGTTGCTTCCAGTTAGATGGTTCATTGAGGAAAAGTAGCCAATATATTCTTGGAAATAGTAATCGGGTCCTGCTCATGTTTGATTCTCCTGAACAGAATGATGTAGGAATACAAAGGCTTCCAAAATTGCATCACATTCATTGGAATGGACTAATTGTGTCACAATATGATGTTCACGTATGTAAGTCATTATTTCTTACTTGCCTTTCTGCAAGTACTTGTGATTTCTCAGGACTTTTATCCATCTCTTGAACAGATATATATCATATTTAACCACTTGTAGGTTATAATTTATGAAACACCCTCTTATGGTGCTCATCATTTCTCCTTATGCCATTTGGGTTCAAATGAGCAAGCTAAAGCTTCCATTAAAAATCCTAAATGGGTCGATGAGCTTCATAAAAAGCAGCAATTCAATGAATTGGTAATGGAATTTACCTTATTCATATTTGTGTATACAGAGTTTTTTTCCTAGTTGCTAATCTGCCTTTTCAAAATTTCACCCCAGGATACTGTTATTCTTGCAATTAATTGCACAGCTGCTGCTAAAAGAATTTTTGAGACACACCTGGTCCCAAGAAGATCCTTGAGTCAGCTTCCCATATTTTCCATGTACACACTTTAACTATTGACGCACCATCTTTTGCTCAGTTGATCTTCAAGCTCTGATGATCTGTAGTGACTTTTCAGGCTTTTTGTGGTCATGGGGCATCTATTTTCCAAATTATTGGCTTCATTCTCCACCATGTTCTATATTGTTCTTCAGTTTTTTCAAACACATTTTAATTATGAATCAGAATCATGGATGTATGTGACATCAGCAAATGTATTCATGAAGACTGCTTGGACAAATATGCAATACCGTTGTTGTCAGATATTATATTGGCCAATCTTTCTTCAGCAGAAGGACCTCAGGTAATATGAAATTTTAGGTAAAATATGTTACTTTGTCTGATTTGTAGCAGGTTTCAAAATTTGGAGATGTAATTGATAAAGTCCATGTAATTTAGTTTCTTTTGAATGACAAGTTTTGGTGGGTCTGTAAAAGAAACCAAACCCAACTAAACTACATAAACCATATCAAACTGTGATTCAGTTCAGTTTCTTTACAGTACAAATAGGTGACCCAGGCTATAAGGCTCCCATCAAGTGGGGTTTAGGGAGGATAGAGTTATGTAGCCTTACCTCTGTAAGTGGGTACACCGTTTCCAGGATTTGAACCTCCTGACCACAAGGCTCACCCATTGTTTTTTTACTGTACAGTTTGCACACAATTTTGGAGGTTAGATAACTCAATCATATTGTATATACAGATGTGATGGGAGCATGGGATTGGAATAACTGAACATAGAACATACAATATTTTGGTTAGACTATAGAATTAAAAATTTAGAATTTATTGTATTTTTCAGGTTGAGTTTTTTTTTTTAAATTTATTTATTTTTATTTAAATATAATAAAATTGGGTTATTTGGGGTTTTTAGTAATTTAGGTTACATGGTCAATTGTTTATCAACTTGGGCTTACTTACTTTGGGATATCTGTATACTTGGAGACTTATTGACTTGAATTTGTGATTGAATTGAGTATCACTGTGCTGTTTCCTCCCTCCATGCCTATTCCTTCTTTTTTCTACTCTGATTTTCCCTTCCCATCCCTTAATATTTCAACATCAATATATTTACATACAGGATTTTATTTATATTACAATTACAAAGATACTAAGAGTTTTTAGCAATATGTAGCTTATTTACATTGGATGTTGCATTTATCTTTTGTTAAGATGTCTCACATTGATTAGGAATATGACCAGAATACTCCTTATAAGACTTGGGCAATCTTCCTCTTGTGAGTTAGTTTTTATGGCGGAGTACCCAGTCCATTAATGATATGATATTAGAGCTTCTAAGGCCAAGTAGTCTAGAGTTCGATCCTTTCCACCTCTGTTCTATTATAAGAACTGCAATTTCAGCTCAAGATTGTTGAACTTGTGTGTGTGTGACCATGCTTCATACCCAAAGGGCTCTTGTATGAGGGAATGTGTTGGAAATGTAATGTAAAACCATTCACGTGTCTTCACCTAACTGCTTAAGCTTTTGGATAGTTGGTTCATGACATGTTTATTGTTGTTTAAAATTATTCTCACCATTGGACAGTAGCTTTTTAGTGTATTAAAAATTTGCAGGTTATTCTTATAATCTTATTATCTGAGACACAACAACAAACTATGGTTTGAAACTGAAACCATCCTAGAACATTGTCTTGATTTATGTAATTCCTTGAGAACTCATTGTTTGGTTTTGTTTTTTAATTGAGTTGGGAAAAATGGTTTAGTCTGTACTCAAGTCTTAAGGCTAAAATGATGTATCAAACTGAACATGATCGGTAACACCCTGATTTTTAATGCAGTATAAGGTTTAGTCTGAATCAAATTTTCTTTGGTTGAAATAGAAAACATTATAGGCAGAATTGTGTTTATATCTTCATTTTTTTCTCATAGATTATATTATATTGCCCATTGCTCTTGGTGATATTTTCTGGTAAATGTAACTTAAATTTGTTGTCTAAAATTAAATTTTTACCTTTTCTTTTTGAGGCAATTATTTACGATTCTTAATCTTATGTAACTTTTGATATTGATTTTATGTTTTTTCCGTGTTTAACACCAATATTTTGTGTGCAAGGTCACAATCATGTGTTGAATATGTAGAGAAAGCTGCAATGCATAGGCATTCTATGTGGTCAACTTTGGTTGTTGATATTCTCTTAGGAAACTTGGTTGGCTGGGCATTATTATATCATGCAGAATCCATTTGCTCAGTTTTGAGCTTAATGCATGGCTTTTCCACATTTTTGCGCTCTGGGTGTGTGTGGTTAATGGGAAACCCTGCAGGCTTCAAATTAAATGCTGAGCTGGCTGGAGTACTTGGCATGGTTTCTTTGAATGCAGTCCAAATATGGTCAACACTCTGGATCTCCGTAGGTTTCATCTTCAATTATATTATTCAAGGGCTTTCTGTTTTAGGAATCCTTTTTGGATTCACTGTACCTGCTGCTCTGGTAATAGACATGATTGCACTGGCAACTTTGCACGTTTCAACTCTTCATTGGTTCATTTCACTTGTATATTCATCACAGATACAGGCATTAGCAGCCTTATGGCGGCTTTTCAGGTAGCAAATTCTGGTTTCATTTAGATGATTGCATGAGTAAGGAAGTGATTTGCATGAGAATTGAACATCTAATTTGGTATTTGTTTTATAAATGGAACTTTCATTGTAATTAGGTTTTGAAAATTCAATTAGTTATTCGCACACAAAATGAGGTCTTTGTCTGCAACAAAATTGACAATTTTTTTTAACAATAACACAGATAGACTCACCAAATAGATGCTAGTGTGATGATCTCATCTGTCAAAATTTTCCTTTTTCTTGTGGTGAACTATACTTTTACATGTAGATAATCCTTCACACGTTAGCTATAATATCTCTGAAAACATTGGCAATGAGTTTAAGGAGTAAGAGCCAATTATAGTGAGCTGTCTAGAAGTTGAAGCTTTAGTAAATTTGACGATAACTTATGATATCATAAAAGTGGAGATCACAAGAGTCACTTGTATTTTCTGAAAGCCGTCATACTTGCTCCCCATCTTTGTGCTTCAGTATCCTTCAGAAGAATAATTGTTATAGATACCAGGGTTTTAAATAGCACGCTGTAGTGCCGCTACAGTGGTGTAATGGTGCGGAGTGGCCATTGTCTGCTACAGTGGTTGCGGAATGGAGCGGGTTAGGCTAGGTGC